CGATCTTGAGCCAATGTTAGCTCGTTCGATTTTAGCTCAACAGGATATCATTATGTTAAATAATCATGTCTTATATTAAATGGAAATACGATAATTATGGCACGTGGTCGACTACGTGTTAAATAACTTATGTTTTTGGCAAAGTTCCCAGCATATTTACCTTAATTTTTTTTGTTTTTTATCCATAGATTCATATTTTTTACCAACTCATTTAACTCGAAACTAGCTCGAGATCGACTCGAGATCAATACAAGCTGAGCATGAGTCATGTTCTACAGCTTGATCATGAGCTTCACTTAGTTTGAGCTCACTCAAATTTTCATATGAATTAAGCTGAGCCAACTCCAACTCGCTCGAGCTCGACTCGTTTGCAGCCCTAGTCATCAATCCCATGTTTGCACGGCCTAGTGAAGTTCTGCACTGAAACATGGGTAAACTTAGGATGATAGTTTTGTCAGTTACTTTTAAACATATGACCTTGTTTATTTTTGTTAGACATAGGACAAAGAACTTCAGATCTGGTGTTTATTTTAGTATTAGGGATAGGCTGATAGTTTCATCTGACATGAAATCTCGGATCCATTTTGTATTAAAAAAAACAAGTCATCAATCCCGTCATTGCACGGGCTAGTGAAGTTCTTTATTTAATTAAACTTGGACTGATAGTTTGATCAGTTCCTTTGAAACATATAATGGTCTTTATTTCTTATTAGACATAGGAAAAAGTATTGAGTTAGACAACTACGGGAATTTGTGGCTGTATTTTTTAGTTCCTGCTGTCCCTAAAATTTTAGATCCATTTTTAATTACAAAATTGTAAATCCGGCTGACATGAACTCTCAGATCCGTTTTTTCATGAAGAAAAGCTAGTCATCAATCCACTGCTGTTGCACGGCGTAGTGAAGTTCTGTATTGAAACACAGGGGAATTTAGGCTGGTAGTCTGTTCACTTACTTTCAAACATATTTCTCCGGAAGAAAAAGGTTATTTTCAGACATACAACCATGTTTATTTTTGTATTAGACAAAGGAAAAAGAGTATAGAGTTATAAACAACTCTCTGCATTAGTGGTTGTATTTTTTGCATGCGTAGACTTTTCCAATTGACTAGTGTGTGAAATCAATGCGCGTGATATATATTCTTGGTGTGCTATGCCCCCAATAACTCCAAATTGATAGAAGATGTAACATGGTAGCAATTTTATGAAGGCTGCATGTGTACTGGTGGGCAATAGTATTGCAAACGCGAAACTCTTTGGTGGATGTATACTTTTTTTTCTCCTTTTCTCCTAAAGAAATACGATGGGGTTTGGTCTTAAGTTTATTATAGACATTCAACACTTGTCGCCCACAAAATCTTCAACTGTTTCTAGTCCATATCTTTTCTAGGGACTCGATTATGCATTACTATTTACATAGAATATTCATGCAAAAGTGTTCTACAAGAGTACATGAGGACATTTATTTTCTCCTGGTCATGAAGAATATCCATGGTTCTATTTTGAAATATTTTTAATTTTAAGTCACATATTATATACATGTATATTCACTAAAATACATCAGAGATATAGTTTTCTATTTTTAGTAATGATCAAATTTTTTAAAAGAAATTTGTCGGGAAATACAGACTCTAGCTATTTTCCGCGGACAATGCACAGTGTATATAAACATATATACTTGTGTGCGCACAAGCGATCTTTCTCACGATGACATAGAGAAGGCTGGCTTAATTTTAAATTAGCCAAAAGTAGGGTGATTTGTATAAATTTGGCAATCATGGAGAATTGCATATTTATCACGCATCGTAATAGGCCTAAAGTACCTGCAAATTCTAAGCCTGCAGCCAGTGATATGAACCTCGCCATCACCAAGCCATATGCATGGCATGGGTGCTTCATGCAAAAAATATTTAATTAATTAAAGTGTTGAAAGTACTGCCCAAATGTAAAACAAACATGCAAACTAACAATCTAATCTCCGGCTTTTTTTACAATAGAGTTGTTTGACATGTACCTACATCAAACCTGTTTGAATAATATAATGACTTTTTGTCAAATGGATTGTTTGGAGAGGTAGTTTTTCTTAAATTAAAGTAAATCTCATATGGTGCTCCCAATTACAATTAGTAAATATAAGATGGCGAGGTGTGCAGATCACTGGCAGAAGTAGTGGTGTGATTCATTTTCTCGCTTCAGGTAAAGAGCCAATGTGCTTGTACAGGTACCCGGACGGTAGTTGGGAGTTGACGCTGCCGGAGGAGCTGGTGCCGCCAGGCCTGCCGGTGCCGACACGAGGCATCAACCGCCGGCGAGGTTATATGAACCGTTCTGACTACCTGACACTCGTCACCTACCACTCCGACTCGTGGCTCATGGGCGTCACCGTTTTCTTGTCCACTTGTCACGCCGCCAACCAAAGGTATGTTACTACTATATTGTTGCTGCTGCTGAGGAAATAACGAATGGTTTCTCGGGACATCTGTCCCCGGAATCTCGCCATTCATTCAGACGTGATCTTCAACCCGCCTATTATTATACTTTGACTTTCTTTTGTATTATCTCTTTCTCTGTTTTGTACTCCCTCCATTCCAAAATATAGTGCGCCCGCGCTTTCCGAGGTCCTACTTTCACCATAAATTTAACCAACGAGACCAACTGCGGCGGGAGAAAAAATTATATAATTGAAAACTTCTTTCGAATATGAATTCACTGATATAATTTTTGTTCCCGCCACAATCGATCTTGGTAGTTAAATTTACTGTCAAAGTTGAAGCACGTGGATAGAGAAAGCACTACATTGTGGAATGAAGGGAGTATTAGATGCCTTCGGACAGCAGGGGCCCACCCTCGCATTTAACCAACGGTAGCTGCTACTCACGGGTCGGCCAACTCACCCTGACACGCATTAACCAACTTAGCTTTTCAGTTTGCCTGCTATTTCTTGTCTCAACAGTGTCGACAAATTTTGAGTAGCGTAACGAAGTCCTTCAATACAACTCTGTACTCTCAATGCGACCAGATATATTAATCAGTCTACTGTTCATTTCATATTATTCGCTAACACCTTTTCACCATTTGCCTACAGCACACACATTTTTTTATAAAATCTGATTTGAAAAATGTTAGGGAAAAGATATTTAGTAATAAAATTGATGCCGCATGTTAAGGAAAAGTTCAAACATACCAGGAAATACTTTGACCCCATATTAAAAAAATACTTTAGAGATAATTTACCCGTTGTTACAGAATTTTTCCTATGTTCTGGAAAATATCATGACAGCTTGAAAAAAAAAATGTCCATTACATGTTAATGAAAAAAAATGCTCATTACATGTAATGGAAAAATGTTCATCTAGAAATAAATTCTCGTTGACTGCTCCATTACATGTACATGATCAAGAATATATTCGTAATTGTGAAATTGGTTTGTGTTGTGAGAAAAGAATAGATTCTGATATAAATACTAAGAAAATATTCAATTAATACATAAATGAGTTTATCGCCAAACAAAGTTATTTTTTGAAAAGTTATCGTAGATATATTTTCGAAAAAAGTTTTGTTTTCCAAATTTGACTTCTGTTTCAGAACATGTAGACTTATATTTCATCTAGATGACCATATTACCGACATATTTATTCCTGTTCCAACTAATCGGCCGCATCCAATTTAATTTGAACCAACTTCCAATTCGATGGACCTCGTGAAAAAAAAAACTTCCAATTCAATAGATAACAACTTAGTAAATACATTCCTGACACATGCACCGTTCTGTTACATGAAAAACTGAACTGAAAAAAACATATTTATATATAATTAGCTTAATTTTAAACCCCCCCCTATGGATTAATATAGCTGTTTCTCTAATTATCTTATTTTGAACTCCCTTATGGATTAATATATCTGTCATTGTGAGCACATTGTAATTTTGCCATGTCTGTCTATCCATTGCATCACCCTTTTTTACTAGTTTCACTTGCTGGACACAGCTGCTACAGTGCTCTGCCACTTTTCCAATGTCGAGGATAAAGTTGCCGTGTCTCAGTAGCAGAACATTTAACTGCAGTGGCTGCAAAACGCGTCGTGGTACTGTGCGGGATGCTGTCCTCTCATGTGCCAAGCGACGTACAACACTGTTCTTCTCAAGTATATCCACTTCCACACCTGAACTGCCTTCCGTATATCATAAATCGCTACTTTAGCAACGCATCGCGATGCACTTATTGATGATCTAGATACCGGGGACATATAGTGCCAGGGACCAAACGTCCGCCTCCCTGCTGCTGCTACTACTATCACCACCACCACCACTACTACTACTTCATTTCACAAACAGTTTTTTTGTGCACTTAACATTTAGGACATTCATATGTGCAATCTACCTCCGAGAAACGTAACCAATAATTTCACAACACATAAAGCATGTGCATGTAGAAGATACATTGAATGCAGCAAAAAGTGCAAAAACCTGTAACTTCTATCTAACAAAACAGTATGTAATTCCTATGCTTTTAAACAAGCGTATAGAAGATTCTATTTTTTGACATAATAACTTGTTTTTTCCATTGAACAAACACGAGAGAGAATACAGCTTCAACAGAACAGTAGTCCTGCAGAACCAATTATTAGAGCCTCAGCATTAAATAATGGGCTATTCTTATTAGGGGCGATCTTCGTCTTCTATTTAAATCATTATGTTCTTGTGCTTATATAGTTCCTCCATGCATCAAGAATGTCATGTGTTACATATTGCTTGCAAAGCCAATTGCTGATTTGGTGATGTTGGTTTACTTTCTCTTTCAGGATACGTTTATTTGATATGGTAAACGAGATGCGAACAGTCCATGACGAATTCTATCTCTCTTATGGTCTTCCTTGGCTATCAACATTTGTGCGTTACAATGCAAACAGGGAGTCGAGCGCACCAACTCAAGAGAATGTGTCCAATCCAGACGTAGACTCTATCACACCTGCTGAAGAGAACGTGCCACCTTCTCAAGACTCGATGCAAGTTTTTTCTGCTCCAAACAAGGACTCTAGGAAGCCTGCTGAAGACAAACAAAAGGATAATGAAGTTACCGACTTTTGCGGATCTTGTAACGCTCCGTATCATGCCAATGCCTTTTGGATTGGTTGTGACGAATGTGACCAGTGGTTCCATGGCAAATGTGTGAACGTAACTGCCTCTGAAGCAGAACATATCAAAGAATACAAGTGTCCTGACTGCATCCGCGAGGTGATCGGAGAGTAGGATATAATATGCGCACCATTCCTTTATTTTAGGGTATGCAGTCACCCTTTGTATGAAAAATGATTAACTAGAAAGGTAGTGAGAGAGGCATTACATTTTTTCCCATTCCGTTGGGATATATTTAAGAATTCAGTTTACAATGTCTTGACAGGCTTTCGCCTTGCTATATTAATATAGCAACCACCTGACAGAACTGTGATATCATTGATGGGCAAACAGGACAATCAAGCCTAGAAAGAGAAACAAATGCCAAAGCGATGATTTCCAACAACCGCCGCCACGCTCCTATGCCTCTAAATTCCACCACGCTCCTATGCCTCTGAATTCCCGCGTACCAAACAACACCTTCAAGAAGTACTACGCCGACAATGATGCTGCTGCATGCCCAGACAGATCCTCGGATTCCTGCCAGTACACGGAGAGGAGTGCTGGCGGGGTACACCTCACGCCCTTCAAGAAGGGAGGCGGCGCCCACAAGCGTCACCGTGTTGGTGCCGGCTGAACCGACAAAGATTTTTCCCGACCCCCGCACCGCTGGTAACTGCAGACCACACATGGTAGTGTAGAACTTTCGCAGAAGTATGCCAACGAGTAATCGTCCCAACAAAGAGCTGAGAAGAGTATTTATGGACGCGTTTCTGTCACACACACAAGGCCTCATACCTCTTGTGTGAAGTACTTCTTGGGCTTCTTCAAATACTACTACAGTCCTCATAACTGTGTTTATTTCTTATTAGGCATAGGAAAAAAATGTATTGAGTTAAACAACTAAGGGCATTTGTGGCCGTAGTTTTTAGATCCTGCTGTCCCAGACTTCTTGAATCCATTTTCAATAAATAAAATTGTCATCAAAATCCAGTGCTGTTGCACGGGGTAGCGTAGTTCCGTATTGATACAAAGAGGAATTTAGGCCAATAGTTTGATCAATTACTTTCAAACATATTTCTATGGGAATAAGGTTATTTTCAGATATACGACCGTGTTTACTTTTGTATTAGACAAAGGAAAAAGAGTATCGAGTTACAAACAACACCGTCCATTAGTGGCTGTATTTTTTGCATGCATAGACTTTTCCAATTGACAAGTGTGTGAAATCAATGCGCGTGATATATATTTTTGGTGTGCCATGCCCAATAATTCCAGATTGATAGAAGATATAACATTATAGCAATTTTATGAAGTCTACATGTGTACTGGTGGGCTATTGTATTGCGAATGCGAAATTCTTTGGTGGATGTACTCCCTCCATTTCAAAATATAGTGCGCCCGCGTTTCCCGAGGTCCAACTTTGACCATTAATTTGATCAACGAAATCAACTGCGACAGGAGAAAAAAAATATAATTGAAAACTTCTTTTGAATACGAAATCACTGGTATAACTTTTGTCCCGCCGCAGTCGGTTTTGTTGGCTAAATTTATGGTCAAATTTGAAGTACGGCAATAGAGGAAGCACTATATTTTGGAATGGAGGGAGTATAATTTTGTGTCCTTTTATATCCTAAAGAAATATGATGGGGTTTGGTCTTAAGTTTATTACAGACATTGGACACTTGTTGCCCACAAAACCTTCAACTTTTTTGGACCATATATTTTCTAGGATTCGATCATGCATTAATTTTATAAGAGTACATGACGGCAATCATTTTCTCCTGGCAATGAAGAGTATCCATGCACTGTATTCTATTTTGAAATATTTGTAATTTTTAAGCCGCATATATTACATACATATTTTTTCACTAAACTACATCAGATAAATGACATAGTTTTCTATTTATTTTAGTAATGATCAAATTAAAAAACAAAATTGTTTGGAATATGGATTCTAGCTATTTTGCACTGGCAATGCACAGTGTATATAAACATATATACTTGTGTGCGCACATGCGATCTTTTTCACGGAAGATATAGAGAGGGCCGGCTTAATTTTTTAAATTCACCAAAAGTAGAGAGATGTGTATAATTTTGGCAAAAATAGAGATCTGTATATTTATCATGCCTCGGAATAGGATTGAAGTAGCGGGAAATTCCAAGCCTGCAGCCAATGGTATGAACCACGCCAACACCAGCCATATGCATGGCATGGGTGCTTCATGCAAAAAACAGTTAACTAAAGTGACAAAATTGTACCGCCCAAATCTAAAACAAACACGCAAACTAATAATCCAATCTCCGGCATTTTTTTTTACAATAGACATGCTTGACTCTATCATACCTGCTGAAGAGAACGTGCCACCATCTCAAGAGTCGATGCAAAATTTATCTGCTCCAAACAAGGACTCTAGGAAGCCTGCTGAAGACAAAGAAAATGATCATGAAGTTACATACTTTTGTGAAACCTGTAGTGCTCAGTACCATGCCAACGCCTTTTGGATATGCTGTGACATATGTGACCAGTGGTTCCATGGCAAATATGTGAACATAGCTGCCACTGAAGCAAAACATCTCAAAGAATTCAAGTGTGCTGACTGCATCGGCGAAGAGATCGGAGAGTAGGATATAATATGTGCATGCTTCCTTTATTATTGCGTATGCAGTCACCGGCCCTTTGTATGAAAAATGCTTAACTACAAAGGTAGTGAGAGAGGCATTACATTCTTTTCGCATTTCGTTGGGATATATTCAAGAATTCATGTTACAATGTTAACCGCATAATGTAAGAGAAGTATGTTTTTTTTTTAAATAAGCCCAGGAGAGCGCTTCTATGCTCTTTTAATATTTGTTTGCACCAATCTTGAAGAGCTCCGAGGCACTAATTGCTGCAAGAACAAACTTCCACTTGTCAGATGTAGTGTAGACGTGTATAACGTGGACATAAAGCTCCTCAGATGTTAAAAATAGATTATGTGAGCTTTAGAGAAAAAAAATGAATGAATAATAGTAACATAAAATTATTAATAATGATAAAAACAATTCATCGAACAGTGACTATATGAGGAACAAATTTCTCGGCAACGTGTGAAAAAGCTTGGAGGGCCTAGATCTTCACCGTCTCATCCACAGGGTAAACAGCATCGATCTGGAGTTCTGCAAGTGTGTAACAGGAAGGGAGCCTTCACTGGTGGAAAAAGGGCCTTTGGTCGCGGTTCGCAACTGCCATTAGTCGCGGTTGCGCAACCGCGACCGAACGGGCGCGACTAAAGGCCCCCCCCTTTAGTCGCGGTTGCTTAAGAACCGCGACTAAAGGCCCGTCCACGTGGGCGCCAGGTGGCCGTCGGGGCGGAGGACCTTTAGTCGCGGTTCTTGTGGCTAACCGCGACTAAAGGCCGCCATAGGTTTTTTAAAAAAAAAATTGAATTTTTTTTTTCAAATTTCTGAATTATTTTAACCTCTAGTCTCTAATCACCACCCCTCATCACTTCTCAATTTATTCTTTTATCACCCCTCATCATTCCAAATCATCTAACTTCCCAACCGGTCACCCATCCCTCTCACTACTCCAGCCCAAGCACGCTTAACTTCCGGGTTCTATTCTCCCACGCTCCAAGTCTGCACTTGTTGTTTTCCTGACAATAATAAGATGTCAATCCTATTAACCTTCAGGAATTTTGCTTGAGCATGAAGTGACACATTTCACTGTTTGAGTTTGAAACTATTGTTTTAAAAAACAATAATTATTTAGTAACACTAATATTTCTTGAATAATTAGTTTGACCATTGTTTGACCACAGTTTGACCACAGTTTGACCAGATTTGACCAAAATTGAAATAATTAAAATAATTATTTAGTAACACTAATATTCTAGAATAATTAGTTTGACCATTATTTGACCATAGTTTGCCCACTGTTTGAATATTTTTCAATTTTTTCCACTCTAGATCTTACAAGCCCCGTAACTTTTTTTCTATTAGGTTTTTGAGGATTTTGAAAATGTTTAACTTTTCGAGTAGATGATTTTTCATATAAAAAACTTTTTCATCCGAGTTAGTATGCAAAAGTTATGCCCATTTTTACAAATTTCAGAGAGATTTTGCAAATAAAGTCAAAATTCACATTTGCAAATTTTCCCAACAACTAGACCACATATCACATGAGAAACTTATTTTCTTTTATTTTTTTGACATTTCCATTATTTTCTTTTATTTTTTTTAAAACTGAAAAGGCGATCCCGGGGGGGGGGGAGTAGAGTTTGAAAATGGGACCTTTAGTACCGGTTCGTGGCACGAACCGGGACTAAAGGTCTCAACCCCATTAGTTCCGGTTCGTGCCACAAACCGCGACTAAAAGGGAGGAGCTTTAGTCGCGGTTGGCCTGGCCAACCGCGACTAAAGGCCTTTGGGCACCTTTAGTCGCGGTTGGATTATTCTAGAATATTAGTGTTACTAAATGTTTAACGGGGTTCCCCCTTTTAAATTTGGATGTAACTTTTCGAGTAGATGATTTTTCATATAAAAAACTTTTTCATCCGAGTTAGTATGCAAAAGTTATGCCCATTTTTACAAATTTCAGAGAGATTTTGCAAATAAAGTCAAAATTCACATTTGCAAATTTTCCCAACAACTAGACCACATATCACATGAGAAACTTATTTTCTTTTATTTTTTTGACATTTCCATTATTTTCTTTTATTTTTTTTAAAACTGAAAAGGCGATCCCGGGGGGGGGGTAGAGTTTGAAAATGGGACCTTTAGTACCGGTTCGTGGCACGAACCGGGACTAAAGGTCTCAACCCCATTAGTTCCGGTTCGTGCCACAAACCGCGACTAAAGCCCGCGAGCGCCCTGGGCCCAGGCATTTGGTCGCGGTTCATCTGCCGAACCGCGACTAAAGACTTCATTAGTCGCGGTTCCTACAGTTTCGCGACTAATGGGGCTGGACGGAAGCCTCTTTTTCTACTAGTGAGATGCTCTTACGTAGAGGGTACTACCAACGCGCTAGCTACTCCCAACGCCACCTGAGGTGTGAACACATTTTCTAGCTACTACAAACGCGTGTCTGCAAGGAAAAACGCTTCGAGGTCTTAATCCAACGATCAAAAGGAGCCCAACACTGGTGGAAAAAG